ACAGTTACGTTTTCATTCAAATTTAATGATTTACTTTTGTTTACGACACTTTTAAAACTAATTGCTACTTTTTCGAGGAGAAAAGTAGCCGTCTGCTCTGAGTAAAGTAGCCGACGCATCAGTTTCGTCGGTTGTCGATGCTTATTTAAACCCTTGTACGTATGACAACCTAATACAGCTTTCACTATATTTGAAGCATAGATACGATGTAGGCCCTTTGCAGCTGGGGACAAAAGACTTATCTCATGCCAAACTTATGGGATACAACCCTAAAGATACCAGAGATTGACAGAGCACAGAAATAATGGGTCTGATAATTTTCAGCTGTTAAACTCTTAACGGTGCAATTTCATTATGGTGTGAATATTATATGAATATGTATGCAGCAATGCAAAAACACGTCCCTCAATTGCATACCTTGCAGTGTAACATTTTTTCCATAAAAAATACTAACTGTAAAATACAGATATTCCATCACTTATAATATCTTAGTGTCATGTGTTGATCACCTCAAATTAGCTTCCTAGCTAATTCTCATGCTCTTTCCACCTCTGATTTTGTTTAAGTGGAATCAAGTTTTTGCATTAAACAGGTCACGTGACCTTAAGCTGCAAAGGGCCTATTCCTACCACACATTACACTATCATAACATACATGTACCTGCCTAAATCTTGTGCCACAGACCAAAAATAGTTGTAAAGCAAGAAATGGCCAGATTAAAGACTGCAAAAAAGAAAATCAACTTGTTAGCTGGACAATCATTTGTATTCTGACATTGCTTAAATCTTATCATCTCCATGTGCTTACTGAGAAATAAGGAAGTTAATTTGTTACACACCAAATGAAACCATGTCATGCTGACTGAAACAGCAACAACCAGGGCTGTCACTACGAGCTGCAGGCTGGAATTTCAGCTGGCTATCATGAGCAAAGAACCAAAGGATAGAACCGAAGGAAAATCTTCCTGTCAATCTCAGAAAACCGTGAACACCTGAAAAATTTTGGGAATATTGTTTGTGTACTGGCCAATCAAAATAAAGTTCAGGACACGTGAGCAAACCTCAAAAAAACAAACTAATTACCATTGCTGTTTGCGGTTTAGTTATCCCGTGCCTTATTGGCTTATTTCTCGAAACACAATAACATTCCATAAATATTTCTAATGTTCACGGTTTTTTGAGTTTCACAGTAACTGTTGAATTCCCACCTACTAATAATTGCCCAAACCCAGCAACATGAAATCTGAGTGACAGCCCTGACAACAATTGCAGTACAAAACTATGAAAGGTTTCACGAGTAGGGGAACACAAAGTCATATCACAAGGGATATGTTTTTCCCAGGTAGTGGAACACATATCACTAGGGATATGTGTTACCCTGGTAGGGAAACACATATCACTAGAAATATGTTATTTCCAGGTCGAGGGACACATATCACTAGGGGTATGTGTTTCCCAGCTAGGGAACACATAATCACTAGGGATATGTGTTTCCAAGCTAGGGGAACACATATCACTAGGAATACATGTTCCTGGGTGGGGGAACACATATCACTAGAAATATGTGTTTCCGAGGTAGAAGAACACATATCAAAAGGGATATGTGTTTCCCAGGTAGGGAAACACATTCGACCAGGGATACGTGTTTGCGGGTAGAGAAACACAAATCATTAGGAATATGTCTTTCCCAAGTAGGAGAACACATATCACAAGGGATACGTGTTTCCCAGGTAGGGGAAAAAATTTCACTAGGAATATGTGTTTCAGGGTAGAGGAACACATATCACTAAGGGTATGTGTTTCCCAGGTAGTGGAACACACATCACTAGGAATATGTGTTTCCCAGGTAGGGGAACACACATTACTAGGGATATGTGTTTCTCAGAGAGGGGAACACATATCACTAGGGATATTGGTTTGCCAGGTAGGGGAACACATATCACTAGGGATACATGTTCCCGGGTAGAGGAAGACATATTACTAGGAATATGTGTTTCCCAGGTGGGGGAACACATCTTACTGGGGACATGTGTTTCCCAGGTAGGGGACCACATATAGGATAGGAGAACACATATCACTAGGGATATGTGTTTGCTAGGTAGGGGAACACATATCACAAGGGATATGTGTTCCAGGGTGGGGAAACACATATCACTAGGGATATGTGTTTCGCAGGTAGGGGAACACATATCACAAGGAATATGTGTGTCCCAGGTAGGGGAACAGAAATCACTAGGGATATGTGTTTCTTAGATAGGGGAACACATATTACTAGGGATGTGTCTTTGCCAGGTAGGGGAGCACATATCACTAGGGGTATGTGTTCCCCAGGTAGTCAAACACATATCATTAGGAATAAGTGCTTCTGGGTAGGGGAACAGATATCATTAGGAATACATTTTCTTGGGTAGGGGAACACATATCACCAGGGATATGTGTTTCCTAGGTAGGGGAAGACATTTCAGTAGGGATATGTGTTTCACAGGAAGGGGAACACATATCAGTAGGGATACGTGTTCCTTGGTAGGGGAACACATACCACTAGGGATATTTGTTTCCCAGGTGGGTGAACACATATCACAAGGGATATGTGTTTCCCAGGTGAGAAACACATATGACTAGGGGTATGTGTTTTCAGCGCATGCATTCTCTCCTGTTGGCACAAAGATAAGGAATGAGATGCCAAATAGCTTTAAAAACATATCAAAGAAGACTTTCAGAAGATAACTTAAAGGAGCTTAATTGTATACACTGAAAACCGAAGACAACTATATAGATAATAACAAAATCATGGCCAAACTTAAAAAAAATAATAATTCACTAATAATAATAATAATAATAACTCACAACTCTTTTCTCTCTATATATTTAGTACCTATCATCATAACTGTTACTTTTTTTGTTGTTTAATTAGTTTTCGTTTTTCTGATTTAACGTGGAACCATTATTGCTTATATGTTCCTCTCTTTCTTTTTGAAAAACTGTTACGTTGTTAATCTCTTTTTTTTGAAATCTGTGATATTTAGAACTTGTGAGACTGACCTACTTCGATTAGTTTAGCTACCTGCAGGTCAGTCAGATTCGATTGTAAATAGTTTTTATATATAATAAATAAACTTGAAACTTAGAAAGAATGCCTTAAAATCAGTGTGAAGTTGCTGAGTTTCAATGTGATTTGTCAAAAGCTGACAAAGATGTTTAGTCTGCAAAGTCTCAGAATTTTATAGATGTTTGTATGATAGGGGGCAAGTTCGTACCCACCATCATACAAACGAGTATAAAATTTCAAGACTTTTTGGAGCAACAACTTCGCTTGCTTTGGACATGTCACCATTAAACTTCGTAAATTTGCTAATTTTAAGATTCTCTTCCCAGCAGTGTCAATGGATATTTTTTTACTGGTCTTCCTTGTATCCCTATTATTAAAGAATATAATGGGGGAGGGGAGGGGGCACTTATTCAAGGGCGGGGGTGTTTGATATTTTCGCCAAGAGGGCGGGCACTTACTCGGGGGGCTTATTAGAGCGTAGGTGCTTATTCGAGGAAATACAGTATATGCCCGGGGGGGTACTTTAGGAATTTCTGGGTGGGGATGTGCCTCTGGGACCCTGGAACCCTTAACCTATACCAGAGCTAGTTCAGCTGAATTTTGCTACCCTATACTAGAGTAAACTTCCCAAATCCCCCTATCCTAGAGAAGCTGTTTCCCTTGTCTAGATAAAATCTTCAACCAACTGATCATTTTCCTGAAAAATGATACCCTATTCTAGACCCAAACACTCTGATTTATATACCCTATCCTAGAGTAAACTGCCTGAAAACCATACCCTTCACAGTGGCACATACCTATATAGCCCATATATGGCAGTACCCCCCCCCCCTCCCCTGGGAGTATATGGCTATGGCATGGGTATGTAATCAGCCAAAGAACAAATGATAAAGGGGCACTTTACAGTCACCCCTGCATAATCTCACCTGTGATTGAACTGAATGCTTTACAGCAGAACTTTCAGTTTTTTCTTTGCCACTGAGTGAAAGCAAAGTTTCCAAATTGAAATAAAACCAATGGATCACTAACATAAACGCTAGAATCACATTCAAAACAACTCTCCAACAACCGGTATTTGATGCTGTCTTTGACAAACTGCCTTCATCCCTTTGCTCAGTAGTTTGTGGAGTTGAGTCCCGATCTCTCAATGCGGATGGAGGTCTTACCTCTGCATCCATTAATCGCTTTCTCTCTAAATATTTCGATTCAAAAACGCCTTCCGATGGCTCCATTTCTGTAGTCTTATCCGTTAATGGTAACACTTTATCAGCTCTTTCACTTCCGTTAAGATCACTGTCAAGAACTTCCCTCTCAACGAAAACACCATCGCTTTCCACAGAATTGTTCTGTGAGACACTTTCGTCGTTTTCGATTTGGGGCTGGGACGTATTAGAATGACTTGAGCGGCTTCCTAGAATTCTGTTCAAGCGATTTTCCGAGTTCTGGAGCAATTTTCTTCTCCTTGCTTCTCTGCGCTCGGCGGTAGCCATTTTGAAAATCAGGGTCAATTTGACATGCGCACATGGATTTCTGTCCCAGTCCTTCATAAAGCATAAGAGCGGGGGTTGAAGCGATTTCCAAATTTTTTTTCCCTTAACTTCCTTGTGTTTGCCTTTTCTTTTCTTTTATTTTCTAGTAGACAAATTGACCGCTCATTTCCGAAAACAACAGTGTACTTGTAGAGGGAAAAATTGTTTTGAAATAAGACAGTATATAAACTCACACGCTTCAGATTCGTTTCATCATCTTGACCGAACAGGACTCCCAAGGAAATCGTTATTCCATTATTCCACAACCCTATTCAATTATTCCAACTTCAAAATTTCCATTATTCATTTTCCACTATTTCTCTTCAGGAACTTTAACCAAATGAAAATTATTTATTCACAAATTTTGAAATCTTATTCATTACGGGGTGACTGGCATTTTTGAATAAAGAATCATTAGCCGATAAACTTACCGGAAACAATCACTAGAACTTTCTTTTTCCTACGTGTTCATTACCTAACTTTTGACCTATCGTTGATTTATAAGTGTAAAAGTAGACAAGTTGACGTTAAACATTTTCCTCTTCCATGATGACTTTAAAAATTGCCCCCTCCATGTTGACTTTAAACATTTCCCCCTCCTTGGCCGCCATCTTGGACCTTAATGAAAATTTCAACTCAGGCAAATAGTTTAGGATCTAAGCACATTTGATTCATGCTTTAGGCCTTGTGTTTTAATCTTTCTGCCTTTGATGCTGTTTTTGTTTTTTTTTTTACATTTCACTTCCAAAAAAAGTGGAAAAACCTCGCATTTTTCCTAAAAAATGGCCGTCACCCTTACCTTAATAAAAGTCGTCGTATCTCGTAATCATGGCAATTTGACTGCCACAGAAAAGTTTACTATAATGTGTCCAAGAAGTTCTTTGACAGCTAGTGAAAAGAGGCAGCTCTGGCTGAATTTCTTTTCAAAAAGGTCTGAGAAAAACGTTACCGGTAGTGGGGTCAAAAAATTAAACATTATCGGCCGGCCGTAAATGAAAGACAGCAGCCTTTGATAGATTAGAGGCTAAGGTCTCAATGGGGTTGACCGTCAGCCGTCAAACGGCCTAAAATTTAACCGTCAACTGTCATAAACGCAGACTAATATTAACCGTCAAAAAGTCTTAAGGTATCTCAATTTTCACTATTTCAGCTGATCTTCATGGACTTTGTGCTCCTGAAGAATCTCTAAACTGGAAAACTCAGTTTCCATGTTGTCAAAAACACAGTCTCTAGACATTACAAGACTTTACAACTCGCTTATCTGAAAATATTTCGAAATCTTAAAAGCGAAAGGCCAAGACAACCTCCAAGACCCAAAAGTTAATATTGCTACAGAAATTAATATTTGCTTTAATTCTTAGACTAAATTTCTACTTAATAACTGTCAACCGTCAAAAGCTGTAAAATGTAACCGTCAACCGTCAAAATTGGAAAAAATTAACCGCCAACCGTTAAAGCTACCTCCCCTTTGCTACCCTTATATTCGGTCCACCCGACTATACATGGAAAGTAGTGCATCAGTGCAGAAGGACGGCATATGTATCGCGTGATTGTTAGTTCATATCAGTTTGACACTTGAGTGTTATAAGCTCCGTTTGTCTACCTACCACTTAAATTGGCGGGACATTGTAGTGCGGCATTTCCATATTTGCTTTGATGCTGCAACTGTTTACGGAAGAAATAAAGTCGCGATAAGTTAGAAACTTATCTTGATGACGTAACTGTCATGAAGAGGTTTAGAAGATTTCAGAAACAACCTATGGGTTCATTTCACGAGAAAGGATGGATAATTACTGACTTTTAAGATCTCCTTCTTGATTTCACTTTCAACCTATCTTTCTCCTCCCTAGAAAACTTTTAAACACATTTGCACGCAAAGAAGCTTAACTGAGCTTTAGAAATGCTGCGACGGCATTTAATGCAGAAAAGCTTCGTTCTTTTAAATCATAAATAGACACTTTGACTGTTTTTCTCCCCTTAAAGTGTCCTAAGTTGTCTAAATATTACTTAATGATTGCTAACTTTAGGCAGTTTTGTCTCTGGCTTCTTGAAAACATCCGATTTCATATACACGCAAAGAAGCTTAACCGAGCTTTAGAAATATTGCAGCCGCCTGGTTTACAAAAACATGGCCCCATTTTTGAAATAGAATTAACGGACCTTTCAAATTTTCTCCGCTCTGAAAGAGTGCTAAGTTGATTTATAATGACCAAGTAATTGCCACATTTAGGCAGATTTTCTCGTCATAACAGACCACAACTGGAAATACCGACTTATTTCAAGTTGATTGCATTAGGTTCTTAATTAATGCGGTGATCACATATCATATATTGTGAAGCCCAATATTCTTTACAATACGTTTAAGACCTTGGATAATATTTTCCGTGACATCAGTTATAATTACTTTATTATCTCTGATTATTTTCTCTTTTTAATATCAACGACACTTCGCAATCCACTTAGCCTGATTTTCATAATTCACACCAGATCCAGCCTTTACAAATTCTAATATCGTGATTAAAAGGTTCTACTTCCGTTGCTAGTCTCTTCGTTGGTGTTCTTTACGTAATTCTCTGGCGACAGAAGTATATATATAAAAAGTATCTTAACAGGCGAGGAAGCTATTTCAGTGTCTTTCGGATGGGCTTTAAACTGGTCTGCACTTCACTGTTAAAAAAACTAAGCAGCAGATTCCACAACAAGGTAAAATTCAATTTATTGTGATTTAAAAAATTCAGAATCTCACATGCATCCATCCTCGAATACACGATTTAAGGACGGACATCTAGTGACATATTTTGAACCTTATTGCTTAGAAGTTTTCATAGTCTTTTATTTGAACTGTTGCACCAGAGGATTTCTTTCTTAGGACTCCAAGTTATAAATTCAATACAGCTAGCGTTTTTAACTGTGTGACTGTGGA